CGTTTTCGACTGATTTCGTAAAATTTTGAACTATAAACGCTTATAAAAAAATTTGTGACTAACGATTTTTGAATTTTCTTAGCTACAATAAGAACAACTCATAAGGAATCTTGTATTAAATTTTCAACTTTTTTTGGTTATCCAACATTTTTTTACCGACACTTCAAAAAAGTTGAAAATTTCAGTGGTCTATAAATAAGTCAAAAATTTTTAAAAATTAAACTGTATATAGATATTACTAACATAAACATTTGGTGAAAATTTCAAGTATTTACAGTGATTAGTTTTTGAATTACAACCATATAAAAAAATCGATTTGGCCGAAAACTAGTTATGCGTAAAAATTCCCGTTTTTCTGTCATTTTTTTGTTGTTTTTCTCGATTTTTTTGAAAACTGTTGAAAAATTTTTACTTTTGACCTCTATAATGCACCAAGGATATTCACTTTTACATCGGAAACCACTCCCAACGTTTGAAGTTGAAGCATTATTTCGACTAGTTATGCTGTACACACACAAAAAAAAAAAAACATCATTGTAAAATCAATACATTCATCACTTCGTTCAGAATCTAAAATGGAAAAATGCAAAGCTTTGCACCCTTAGATTTTTTATTTAAATTACAAATACAATCCATTGCCTATGAACAATATCATTATTGTTGGTCGGAACATTCTTTTTTCAAATTAAATATTTACTAGAATATCAGGTTCAACTGGCTGTGATAAAAATACTTTAAAATTTATTACACTATGCACTTTGGAAATGGAATCAAAAATACACGCGATATTTTTTCTATTTTTTTTTTTGTGTTCCAACAATATTTTAATTAAGTTAATATTTTAACTATATTATTTTTGAGCGGGATAATTTTTCTGTTTGTACGGCTTATGGGAGCTAAGCCCCCTCAATTTCCTCCCATGCATATTATACATTTGAATAGACTACTAAATTTCAATTGTGTTATTTTTAATTCACATGTAACCCTATTCTTAGTTTTCTCATGATAAAAAAATTAATTCTTTAATTTTTTTTGCCCCCTCYCCCAAATATTTATTGTACCCACASTGAGCTATGGTCAACAGATACTGAAATACCTATAATAGATATTATACTTAACATTGATTAAAATTAATATTGGTTACTTATTATTCAAGTTTATCAAATTCTAATATGTATCAATAATAATTTCATATTTTTTAAATTATTTACTATTTAGTCATTCAAAAATGTAGATACAATAACTGATCAGATMAATATGAATACTGTAGACACTATATGATAAATAACAAATTTAATATGAGAATTACATAAAATTCAACAACCCAGTATTAAATTTGCATGTCCAGGTAGCACTATCTGGGAAATGCTGCTGTAGAGGCTAAAAAATTAATTATTGCAAGTGCGGATGCAAATCAACTATGAAAACTAATAAAAAAAAAATACAACAGAAATCAAAAAGTTATATTTATAATTATTTTAAAATGTAAGTGTCTATAAAAAATGTATCACAAAATACTAGAAAATTTCCAAATAATAATTACTGGACAAATAATTTATAAATATATAAGAATTTTCCCCTACAATATAAGTAATTTAAAAAGATAAAACAAATAAAATTTTAATAATATTAGTAACCTAAAATCTATATAATATATATATATATATGCAAGTACTTTCTAATAAAATATTAGTTAATTTTTTTTTTAAACTTTCACCGAATACTATTTAGTATTTAAATAATGATTTAAAGTATAATTACATACTATACATACAAATTTTGATATTATAATAAGTACTTGTTAAATATTTTATGAATTTATACTTATCTAATTGTGTATGTTTTATAATATTATATCAAATGTTTTGTTTATAAGCCATAGCTAAATTATATAATATATTACCATCAAACCAAAGTCTTAAATCTCGTTAAAAGTATATAAATTGCATAAAATAATGCAAACATTTTATCAGTTATAAAAACTATATGATTAAAGTTAATTGGTTGTGAATACTTTATTAGTTTTAAAAATTAAATTAACACCTCAAGACTTTATTTTATTAGTGGTGCCTTATTGGATTTTAAATATTTAATTTAACCAATTAAAATATCATAAAATTTMATTTTATAAATATAATCCAGCTTTTAAACAATTATTAAAATAAATATTATATTTCTATCTTATTTATACATAATTAAATGTTTAATATTTATTAACCTTTTAATTTTGAAAACACACTTGAATTAATATTTAATAAATTAACTTATTAAATATTTAATACAATTTGTCGACATTTTTAAAATGGTTATTAAGTTTTACAAATTAAATCWTTTAATTATTGCATTAGGAAGGAAAAAGGAAAATAATAAAATG